GGGGTGCGGGGGCGGCAGGGCGGGGCCTCCCGGCCCTCGTGAAGGTCCAGGGGGTCTCGCGAGCTGGGACAGGCAGGATCTGGAGGGGCGCGGCGTTGCAGTCCCGGCGGCCGGCGGGGTGTGTCGGCGCTGCGGATGCCCCTAGGTGCGAGGACCCGGTCGCCGGTGTGGCAGAGAGGGGCTTCCTGGGGGCCTCTCCCTTTGGGGGCGTCTAGCCAGGCAGACGATCGCGTGAGCGTCAGGCAGATGGAGAGCAGAAAACCGTGACGGCTGCAGTCGCACGTACCCCGCCATGTGCGAGGCCCCAGCCAAGCGGGGACCCACCGGCATCCTCCCAGTCTGCGCTCTGGCGAACAGCAGCTTGCACCCGGCCTTCAGCGCCCAGCCGCGAGCTGGCTCGGGCGAGCTGGCTCGGTGGCGGAGTCGGGTCGCAGTGTGGGGCCTCCTGCCCAGAGGCTAGTGGCAGGTCAGAGGGCGGGGAGCAGTGGTTCCTCACGGTGCGGTGCGGCTGCTGGTGGACCCCACACAGGGGAGGGAGAGCCGGGTCTGGCCCGGGAGCAGCTGAGGCGGATCCCACCGAGCAGAGGCGCCTCAGGAAGCCGCCTAGTGAGTGGCTTTGACAGCTTTGTGCTGCACTTTGGGGTTTCCCGTGCTCACCGATCCTGGGGCTAGAGCTGAGCCAGTGGGGTCATTGTGCCTGGCAGAGGGTCCCTCAAAGCTGAGGTGATAAAGAGCCATAAGGCGGGGAGAATGCACCCTGGGGAGAGTCAGGAAGCACAGCAGGGAGAGGCCTGGTCCTCCAGCTCACATGCGCCCTTCGGTCAGATGTTTGCGAAGAGTCAGCTGCTGGGCCCCTCCACAGACGTGCAGGGGAAGCCAGAGGTGGGAAGTCTAAGGAAGGGGCTCATCAAGAAGCAGGGGGCCTGCTGGGCACGTCAGTCTCAATCTAGAAGGCCCCAGGGAAGCTGACCGGAGGCGAGGGCCCTGCCGGCCGGCCCAGGCCGCAGGTGAGGGTCCGTGGTACCGAGGCCCTGAGCAGAGAGTGGCCCTCAGCAGCACTGCAGGTCCCGAGGGGGGGAACTCTGGCGGAGCCGGAGCTGGGCAGCTTTGTGGCCGGATGGATTTTGGTCTTCACGTCACGTTCACAGCTTCTGTCCTTCTCGTAACAGGACAGTGTGACCTTTGCGGACATCGCTGTGCACTTCTCCTGGGAGGAGTGGCGGCTCCTGGATGAGACCCAGAGGCACCTGTATCTCGATGTGATGCTGGAGAACTTTGCTCTGATAGCCTCCCTGGGTAAGACGCAGCCTCCCCCGTAACCCCAAGACTTAGTTCTGGTCTCACTCGTGAATCAGGGGAGCTGCTTCCTCCCCAGTTTTGGGGGGATTTCCCTATTGCCAGCAGTGGTCTGTTTGTTGCTGTTGCGCCTCGACTCTCCCTGCAGCCTGAACCCTGCGAAGCGAGCCTTTTAGGACGGGAGTCAGAGTGGAGTGTCAGGGAGCGCTCAGTGCTTTCCAGCGCGCGTGCCCTCTCTCCCACTGGGTCGTGCCTGCGTTCGTTGTGTCGCCTCTGTATGGTCATAAACACCTACAGTTGGGTCCCAGTGTCTTCAGGCGTTTTACCTCAGGGCTGTGTTCAGAGCCAGAACAGAGGCCTTTGCCTGCTTCTCGGTTTCATACACCCTCAGCACATGGCCAAGAGTTCAGTTTCCCTAAACCACCACAGCCTCTTAGAAGTTTAGGTCAGAGGGTGGCATCCACTGAGTAAATGTCAAGCGTGTGACATCGTTATTAACGGAAATCAGAGCTGTATGTTCCTCTTGACTTGTTGGCCTCAGAACTGAGTATCGTGTTCTGGTTTTCTCTGTGGGGCCCTGGCTGCTGGGCCCCCTCATAGCTGACTGTGGCCTCTTACCAGATGCGAGCCGGTGATCTCGTTTAGCTTCTGATTTGCATTTTCTTGATTCATGAGGTAGAGCATATTTTTTGTAACATTTGTTGGCCATATGTTAATGTCCTTGGGAAAATGTCAAAATTGAGGCGTTTTGCCCACTTTAAACCCAGATTGTCCTTTTCTTGTTGGGCTGTATGAATACTTTTATGTAGTGGTGGCATCGACTGTGGTGAGATACAGGGCAGCGAGTTTTCCCTCTTTCACCTTGTTCTTTGCTTCCTTTGCTACGCACAATCTCTTTAGTTTGACTAAGCCTCCTTTGTGCTTTGGTGTTTAGTCTAGAACATCGCTAAACCCAGTGTTAACAGACTGTCTCGCAGCCGCCCTGGAGGTGACCCCAAGGCAGCAGACCTCTCCTGTCTCCCCACTGCTCCCGTCAGCAGGGTACTCTGTCCAGCTTCCTGTCCTGCTCCCCGCTCTGTCTCTGCTGAATCCTCTCATCACCCCTGCATTTCTGGCCTCTATCCCAGTTCTGTATGCATAAGCAAATTAAAAAAAAAGGCGGACTTTTTTCTTTTTTTTTTGGGGGGTTTTTTTGTTTTCTTTTTTTTATTGTTTATTTTTTTTCAATTGTTTTTGGTTGGTTGGGTTCTTTTTTTTTTTTCTTTTGGGGCCCTTCCTTATCCAGTTTTTCTGACCTCATTCGTCGAAGAAGCTGTCCCTTCTGCTTTCTGATTTCTTGGTGTCTTTGTGGAACCATTTTGACCATATGTGCATGGGTTTACCTGTGGCCTCAAGTCTGTTTCATACATAATGTGCGTGTGTGTTTGCCCCGATACCATACTGTTCTAATTACCCTTGTTTTTGTGATGAAGTTTGAAGTCAGGAAGTGCGATGCCTCTGACTTTGAATTTCATACTCAAGATTTCTGTGGCTCTTAGAAGTCCTTGGTAGTTCAAATTTTAGGGTTTTTCTGTTTTGGGAAAAAATGCTATTAGATTTTGCATTAAGTCTGTAGCTTGCTTTGAGTAACAGAGCTATGTTAATAGTAAGTTTTCATTTGCGAAAGTACTGGATATCTTATTTTTTGGTCTAATTTTTTTCGTCGATGTCTTACAGTTTTCAGTGTACAGGTCTTTGACTTCCTAGTAGCAAACGTATACCTAAGAATTTTACTGCCGATGCAGATGGGATTGACTTTAATTTCCGAGATACTTCACTGTCACTGTCGAGATACAGGTGATTAGCTAAATGTTGGTTTGTGTCCTACCACGTTACTGAGTTCATGTGCTCATTCTCACTGATGTTTAGTAGAGTTTATAGGGATGCTTTCTACTTATCCTAAATTCTACGTCTGTTGTAATTTAGGTATCTTTTTTCCTTACTCTCTGGCTGGGATTTTTATTAATTTGTTGAATAGAAATGGGGACGGAGGACTTTCTTGCCTTGTTCCTGATCTTAGAAGAAAAGCTTTTTCTTTTTCGTTGTGCAACATGCTCGTAGTTTATGCGACACCTCTTTAATAATGAGGTGCATTTCTTCTGTGTAGTTTTTTGACAGTTTTTATCAGGAAAGTATTTTGAATCTCGTCAAATGATTTTTCTGTGTCATCTGAGATAATCACGATTTTGGCTTACAGTTCGTGATTCTATGAGCGTGGTGGATCCTGCTTACAGCCTTATGTTACCTAGCGGCAGTTCATTCGGGGGATGTGTCAGGCAGGTTGGTCATCGAGTGGCAGGCTGGGTGCAGGCTGGGCGCAGCTACCTGATGCCCTAACTTGCTGCTCCTAGCCCGTGTGGTCGAAGTGCAGCCGCAGTTCGGCCAAGGCGTCCTTGACTGTTCACCTCCGATTTGCCCTCCTTGCGCCCCAGGCCCATTGCACCTGATCATCACAGTCGACGGTTCCATCACAAGCTGGGGGCTTGATTTGCTAGGGCTTTGTTAGTTTCGTTACATCATCAGGGATGTTGACTAGTCATTTTCCTAGGGTGTCCTTGCCTCGTTTTGGGGTCAGGTTAATGCCTCCAAAGCCCCACGCCACCTGTCCCGACTGGCTGGTGCGGTGTCTGCGTCCTCATCTCTCGTCCATCCACACTGTGCTGGTGGTTGCACTGAGCTGATGTCCGCTGCGATGCTTCTCTGAGCTCCTTCTTGTTTTTTTTTTTTAAAAGGATTTATTTACTTAAATATACAGAACTGGGGTACAGGACGTGTGGGGGTGAGAGGACTCCCCAGAGACAGAGTGGGGAGCAGACCACTGTTGAGGGGGTAGCGGGTAGACAGGAGATCGGACTCAGCCCACAGCAGTGCTGTCGCTGAGACGAAAGGCGTTGGCCACCAGGGAGACCCAAGCTGCTTCTGCCTTGCACCCTGTTGCTATAGTATCTACCGCATCCCTGCGCCACCCTCCCCCGCCAGTCGGCCAAGTCATTGGTGTCTCGATGCAGTGTGCTTTCTCCCTCGTGTGGACATCACTCACCTAGATCTGGTCTCTGGGCTTCTGTGTGCTCTGGGGCAGTAACAGCCGCTGTCCTGGCCCGGACCCGTGTAGTTGCTGAATTAGGACTGAGTTGGGCGAGTCGCTGGTGTATCAAGTTGCTCCCACCTGCAGCTGCTCTTCGCCCCGGCCTGGAGAAGGCAGCGGGACGGTGTGGAGGGCGGTTTCAGTCTGGTCCGGAGCCTGCTTTGTGGAGCCGTTGTTCTGTGGCCACCGACCACACGTGCTTTCTGCCTCCCCCCCATGCTTTTATTTTGCAGACTTTGACGTTCTCCTATTCTTCACCGCTGTGACCTGCATCCCAGGGGTCATTCCCAGCAATCTGGGTCGCTCCTCTCATCCATCCCTCTCTCTGCCCTGTCTGTGCTGCTTTCCAGCACTCGCTCACGTCGAGGGGCAGGTGCACGTGAACTTCAGTGGGCTCGGGCACGCACTGTGCACGGCCTCCCCCGAACAGTAAAGATCTGGCAGGAAGCCGTTGGCAGACATAAGTTGCAGCCTTGTCTTGCTGTGCTTCCCAGAGGTGGGCAGCGCTCCGTGACCGTAAGACCCGTGATGCCCAGCAGAGAGCCACTCCATCCGTTTCCCTTCTCTGAAATGATCCCAAGACCCGTGTCTAGACGAGACAGACGGCCCTGGGACAGGTGTGCTCCCTCCTCTCACCTGTGTTTCCTGTGTCCAGGTTGCTGCTGTGGAGCAGGGGATGCAGAGGCGCACGTGCGACGAGACCTTTCTGCACGCGAGTCCCAGCGCCGCACTCCCAAGGCGGCGCCTCCTTCCCAGAAGGCCCACCCCTGTGAGAGGTGCTGTCCAGTTTTGCAGGACATTTTCCACTGGGCTGAGCACCAGGGAACGCAGCTCAGCCAGAAACAGCTGAGGTGTGGGGCGTGTGCAACAAGCTTTCCTTTCAGTGCACACCTGCAGCAGCAGCAGCTGCACACGGAGGGGCGCCCTTTCAGGAGCCGCGAGGGCACAGCCTGCGCTGTGAAGAGCTTCGGTGTCCACGTGTCGGGAAAGCCCTCCACAGGCCCGGGAGGTGGTAGGGACTTGCCGCTGCCCGCAGGACAGCTCCCACAGAACAGCACGCTTGCCGGGGAGACACCGAGCAGAATCCCCCTGCGCAGGACAGCTGTCCAGAGCAGGACGCCTCGCGCCGCCTGCGGGCTGCGCACCAAAGGTTCTCGTCCCAAACTCACGCCCGTTCAGGACCAGGGAGGCCACGCGGGAAGGCAGGGTTTTGTGTGCAGCGAGTGTGGGAAGACGTTCAGGGACAAACCCTCCTTTGTCGGGCACCAGAGACTCCACGCCGCAAAGAGACTTCACGAGTGCACTGAGTGTGGCAAGTCCTTCAAGCGCAGCTCCACCCTCAGCAAACATCAAAGAACGCACATGCGGGAGAGGCAGCACACGTGCAGCAGGTGCGGGCGGCCCCTGAGCCAGAGCTGGCACGGTGGCGAGAGCAGCTCGGCGTGCAGTGAGTGTGCGCAGTCTTTCACCTACAGTTCCGTGTTCATTCGCTGCAGGAGAGTACAAACGAGAGAAAAGCCGTACAAGTGTAGTGACTGCGTAAAGTCTTTCACCTCTGTGTCTGCCCTCGCCTATCATCGGCGCTCTCACACAGGAGAGAGGCCTTATGAGTGCACGGACTGTGGGAAGTCGTTTATCTCCAGGCCTGACCTCCGCTACCATCAGAGAGTTCATTCTGGGGAAAGGCCTTTCGCGTGCAGTGAGTGCGGGAAGTCTTTTATCACTCGTACTGCTCTGCGATACCATCACAGAGTTCACACTGGGGAGCGGCCTTACCAGTGTGCTGAGTGTGGGAAGGCCTTCACCCGAAGAAATAACCTCATCATCCACGTGCGAGTGCATTCGGGAGAAAGGCCCTTTGAGTGCAGTGAATGCGGCAAGTCTTTCACTTTTAGTTCCAGCCTCCGTTACCATCAAAGAGTTCACACAGGAGAGAGGCCCTATGAGTGCAGTGAGTGTGGGAAGTCCTTCAACAACAGGTGGACCCTCATTCGACACCGGAGAATTCACACTGGAGAAAAGCCTTACGCGTGCAGTAAATGCGGGAAGTCCTTTACTTGTAGCTCCACCCTCCAGTACCATCAGCGAGGTCACCTTGGGGAGAGGCCTTACGAGTGCGCCGAATGTGGTAGGTCTTTCACTACGAGCTCTGCCCTCCGCTACCATCAGAGTGTCCACTCGGGGGAGCGGCCTTATGAGTGCACCGAATGTGGAAAGTCCTTTATCTCCAGGTCTGACCTCCGTTACCATCAGAAAGTTCATTCTGGGGAAAGGCCTTACGAATGCAACGAGTGTGGGAAATCCTTTATCCGAAGAAATAACCTTATTTTACATCAGAGGGTTCACACGGGAGAAAGACCTTACAAGTGTAGTGAGTGTGGGAAGTCTTTTAACAATAAGTGGACACTCATTCAGCACCAGAGGGTTCACACAGGAGAGAAGCCTTATGTGTGCACTGAATGTGGGAAGGCCTTCACCTGCAGCTCCACCCTCTGCTACCATCAGAGAGTCCATGAAGGAAAAAGGCCTTACGAGTGCAGCGAGTGTGGGAAGTCATTTACTTCTAGTTCCACCCTTCGCTATCACCAGAGAGCTCACACGGGAGAAAGACCTTACGAGTGCGGCGTCTGCGGGAAGTCTTTCACCTTCAGTGCCAGCCTCCGATATCATCACAGAGTTCACACCGGGGAGAGGCCTTATGAGTGCAGCGAGTGTGGGAAAACCTTTAAGGATAAATCCCAGTTCAATAAACACCGGAGAGGCCACACGGGAGAAAGGCCTTTTGAGTGTAGTGAATGTGGAAAGTCTTTTATTCACAAATCTTCCCTTTCGATACACCAGAAAATTCACAACAGAGACAGGTCTTACGAGTGTAGGGCATGTGGGAAATGTTTCACCTCTCTCTCTGGTCTCGGTTATCATCAGAGGGTTCACAAAGGAATAAAGCCTTACCAGTGCAGTGAGTGCGGAAAGTCTTTTACCAATAGTTCAATACTGATCCGACACCAGAGAGTCCACACGGGAGAGAGGCCTTATGTGTGTGGCGAATGTGGGAAGTCTTTTACCAGTAGTGCAACCCTGTCTTACCATCAGAGAGTTCATGCCGGAAAAAGGCCTTATGAGTGCAGTGAGTGTGGGAAGTCTTTTACCTCCAGTTCCACCCTCCGTTACCATCAGAGAGTTCACTCCGGTGACCGGCCCTACGAGTGCAGTGACTGTGGGAAATCTTTTATCACTAGCTCCAAGCTCCGTTACCATCAGAGGGTTCACACCGGAGAGAGGCCTTACGAGTGCCGTGAGTGTGGCAAGTCCTTTCGGGATAGCTCCCAGTTCAGCCAGCACCGGAGAGGCCACACTGGAGTCAGACCTTATGAGTGCAGTGAGTGTGGGAAGTTTTTTATGCGAAAATCTACCCTCTCTCAGCATCAGCGAGTTCACGTCAGAGGAAAACCTTAGGTGCACAGTTCCCTTGATGCTGGAGGGGTCTGAGCTGCCGGTCGGGGTGAGTCACAGGCCTCTGTAGGCCCAGCGCAGCATTGCCCATGTTTCGGGGCCATGGTTAGCACTTAGTCTCTCCAGGGCTCTCTAGGTTTTTGTCACTGACTCTGATGGTCAAAGCCATTTCATCCTACCACCTGGCAGGACTGTGCCAGTCACGGCGCCGTGCGCTCTTGGCAGCTGGCTCTTCTCCCAGGTGTTGGAAAGAGGAGGGTAACCGAGTGTGGGAAGGGTCAGCTCTCCCGCCTTCTACTTTGGACATGGACGTGAGTCGTTGTGAACATGGAGTTCAGCTGGCGGCGTGCAGAAAAGTGACGACCTTTTCAGGGCTGTGCTGATCTCGTGGCCACTTGTGATGGCGTTTCCGGCTCCCAAGTCACAGACCTGAGTACTGTCTGACACATTGTGTGGTTTGTACAACAATTGGTTTTAAACCTCGGGTGTTCTGTTTACTCTGTAGTTTATAAAAGCAGATTTGGGTTACACAGGCATGAAAATGGGACTAGGGTGGCAGGAAACGACATGCGCTTGGCCCAGTTTGCATCGCTGCCCACAGCTCCTAGAGAAGGCTACAGGGCTTTCCTGTACTTAGTGAAAGCCTGGGCACCTACTATTTCAGGAGTCAGAGTGACTCCCAGAAGGGCTGGCATGAGCACTTTGGAAAGCTGGTGACGCAGCCCTCCCCCCGCCTCCACCCGACTGAGGAGACGGCATGTCATGCCAGGACCGAGCTGGGGGCGGCGCAGGGTTCCCTACACTTCGAGCAGCAGGGGCCTGCTCCCCAGTGTGCTGTAGTTCGGGAGCACTGGTGTTAGGACTGCGCGGCCTGCAGAAAATCATCTTGTACGGCAACACTGGACTGTAGGGAGTGCAGGTGCCTGCGGCCAACTTGATCAAATGCGAGTCCTCGAACAGTGCATGCGGAAGTGTTCTGGGACTGTGCAGTGTCACTTTGGACACAGAGCCCAGGACCTGCAGGTGAGCTTTGCTTGTGTGCCTAAAGTCTGTCACAAAACGAAACCAAAAGATTTTGAGGGCGAGGTTGCTTCTCTCCGGCTGACCCCAAGGCCCGCCTGCACAGCCAGGGGCGTGGTCTGTGGCTCGGGCCTGCTCCTCCCTACTGCTCCCCCTCGCTGAACACTCCTCCCGGGAACTTCTGAGCAGGGAGATGGGGTCAGTGTGGGGGTCACCACCCCTATTTTCCGAAAAGAGGTACATGGATCTTTTTAAAATCTTGAGCCAGTTTTTCAAGGTGTTAAAGTTCCATGCATGTAATAAACTGCACATTTGAGTGTGTGCTGACCTGGGGACTGAGCCCATGTGTTCCTGACGAAGACGACCTTTTGTGATCTCTGTCATCTTGTCTCTACTGTTCTCACCTCACGGAAGCCCTGACTTGATTAACATAGCTGTGTTTTCTTAGATTCATATGATTGCAATTTTCCCCTCTAACATGTCATAATTTTACGATACGCCCATCATAAGTAGCGTTTTGGGGAGGGGGCTGAGTAATGGTTTTGGATAGACCACAGTTTTTCCATTTAGCTGTTTTCTGGGTGTTTATTTCTCGGATTTGAGAATTGAGGTTAAAGCTGTACAAAGGGAGTGTTCGTTACATGAATCTCACCTTCTGTTCGTAATTGAGGCGGTGTCTGAGCAGTGTAGGAGTGTGTGGACTTCTGAAGAAAGATAAGTTTGTGATCTAATAAGGTTGTGCCTTGTGCCTCTTACCTGGCAGGCCGTGTGAATTCACGCCGCAGCCTTGTAAGCACATGGCTTCGAGGGTGGTTTCCAGTAAGTTTGAACGTTACCTCAGTTGTTTTAATTACATTTCTGGGAGGGGGCGCGGTGAGTGTTTGGATATTCATTAGCTTTTATTTCTTAGCTGAAGTGTCCACTCATCTTTTTCCTGTCTGTCGAACTCTGGCTGTTTACCTTCATGAAATGGAAAACGAAGGTTGGAATTTCATTCTTCAGTAACACGGAGTGCATCATGCTATTACTGTTGGGCACTGACATAACTTTCTGATTTGTGTAGTATTCTCAGTGGAATGGACACTGGATGCCATGCCCCACCTTTAGTCTGCATTGTTAGCATTCTCTTCCACCTCCTCTCTGCAGTCGTTGATAATGTAGTCGAGCTGCGTTTTCCTCGCGTCCACCATGACAGTTGGTGGCTTAGAACAGGGTGGGGACGAGACTGCATCAGGATGGAGTGAGCCACCCGGCTCCTGACTGAACAGGTCTTTGATGAGACTCCCCAAGCCCTGATCTGGGTTTCTGAGTTTAAAGCCCCAATCCCTGACCAATAGAAGACTGCAGCAAATTGCCGGCCACCAGCCCCCTCACCCCGGAGTTTGTGCCTCCATAAGGTGGGAGCTGAGACTTGCTCTGTTCCCGGTTCTCTGGAGGATGTGCCGTGCTGTGGCGTCTCCACCTGTAAGTCGTCCAGGAAGTGGGCGCCTTTCATTCCCCGATAGGCTTCACCCCGGTGCCCAAATAGTGGGGCTTTTCAGAATCTTGTGATCTGGGTTGCTCCCGTGGGCCCAGACCCCCAAGAGCAGGGGGCTGCAATTAGCGAGGTTGACTGGTTGGTTCCCCACTGTGGAGTATCTAGGCAATGTGGTAGAGTTTCCCAGGACTCAGTCTGCTGAGTCTCAGCATGGATATGACCACGGTGTGTGCCATTTCCCCCCCCCCCCCAGGAATACTGAGGAGCAGAACACTGAGCACCTGCCCACGATTCCAGGATTTTATTTAAGTTGGCACAGGATTAGACAAAATACTTCCATTTGGTCTTCTGAGCTTAACTCAAACTTACTAGTATTTTTATTAATACCTTAGTTGTCACATAAAGCATTTTATTTAAACATTTATGCTTGTAAGAACTGGCGTACACACCAGAAGTGGCTGTGACAGGGCTCCCCAGAGACAGAGTGGGGAGGAGAACAAGCAGATCCACTGAAAAACTCTTGAGGGAGCAACGGGGAGACAGACAGGAGGGGCTGTCACTCCCTGGCCGGGGTGAGCGGCTAGGACAGCTCCGTGGTGCTGAGAGGCACCCTGTGCCAAAAAGCGACATTTGAGAGGCCCAAAACAGCATCTTAACGTGACATTTTACTAAATTCGTGTTTTGTATGCTATAGTTTATTTTCTCCTCTAAGTCACTAGCTCTGAACCCGAGAGCACACTCCTCAAGGAGTGGGTTATCTTAGAAGTATTATGATTTCTTTTCAAATGTGCTTCACCTGACTTCCGAATTTCTTTTCTTTACACAGTCTAATGTGACGCTGACAGACACAATGGCCACCACTGCTAGGGCACGTCCCACATGCTCTTCACATGCTTTCTGATTCAGTGACAGTCACTCCCACACTCCCCGAAATCTAATGTAACTCACTTATTTGAAAGTGACCTTCTTTAATCAACAGCAGAAAATGAATTGGAATAACAAATAGCATGTTTACTTCAGTGAATGCAGTGGGAAGCGCCCTCATTTTAGCCGTGTTAAAAATTCCAGCTCAGTGAAACTTGGAGCAATGTACAAATGAGTAAGAGGTAAATATGTAGGTATGTAAGTATTCTACACTACAAATGTTATTGAAGCATTTAAAAGTTCTCAGTATACTAACTGGTTAGAGGTAAAAAAAAATTAAAGATTATTTATGCATACAGAACTGGGGTGCAGGCCAGAGGTGCAGGGGCGGTGAGAGTTCATGAGACAGTGGGGAGCGGAAGCGGCAGACTGACAAAGTACACTCCTGAGGGGAGCAGTGGGCGAGAGACGACAGGTCTCTTGGCCTTGTGGGTCAGCTGCAGGGCCGTGGCTGCCAGCTTGCAGTCTGTGCTTTGACCCACTGCACCACCAGGGAGGACCCTAGAGGTAAAATTTTAAGTGAATAATGAAGTTATCACTAATATTTATATTGGAGTTTAAAAAATCCTAAAGATTTCCCCAATATTTAATGGCTTATAAGAATACAAAAACTAGATCAATCCTTTGTACATTATGCATTTTATTTTTATGCTTATTTAACTAAGAATTGTCATATTTTGCTTATATATTTTAAAAAGTCAAAAGAATATGTGGCTTTTTGGTCTTGTAATGACTTGCACACTTTAGGGTATTAACTTTTTTTATAAACTGACTTAGATGAGGGTGAGGCGGGGCTTGATTGAATTGTCTATTTGACATAAAACTTAGTTGACTTTTTATACCCAACTCAATATTATTGTACTAAGTATAAAATTTATGATCGCTACAAATCGGTAAGTTTAGTATAGTTCTTGTACATGTCAGCTGTGTTCCCAGGCAGTTTACTGTCCAATAAATCCAGTACTTTATATCTTCCAGAATAAGCTGCTGGATGTTTCTTAATTAACTTACATTTATTACCCTTTAAAGTGCATCTCATATATTAACATTTTATTTTAAACACATGAGGTGAGTTGTTAGGTATCTCTTTTTTTGTTGTTGTTCACGATTCACTTATGCACACAAGAGCTCAGGTGCAGGCCAGAGGTGGGGGGATGGAGGACATGAGAGGACTCCCCAGTGACAGAGTGGGGAACAGAACAGGCGGGTCCACTGAAATCCACTGCTGAGGGGCAGTGGGAGTCAGGAGAGGTCTGCTGCGCCCTTCAGTCACTTCCTGGCTGGGATGGACTAAGGCCACAGTGGCCGCTGATAGTTTCCTAGTGCTCCGATTCAACCCCTGCGCAGGGGGGTGCCCCCAAGTCAGTTTTGAACTTTCACTGCCAGACCCAAGGTTTCCTGAACAAGCCCAGCTCAATCTCATCCGGTCTCTGCTCGCCTTGCTACAAGCTGCGCGTGGGGTGTCTCCAGCACTGCTTTATGCAAGGGCTTGGGGAGCGGTCAGTGAGGTCCCAGGACCCGCCACTTACTCGGTTGGGTCCCGAATGCGCCTTGCCCTGGACACAGTGTGGCCGGTGGCCAGAGCCTGGGCGCTGCCTTCCCGGCGGGAATACAATGGAAGTTGAGTTAAATGGCTTTGCTCCCAGCTTAGGGGAGCCAGAGACCCACCTCGGAAGTGACCGCGTAGCCCTGGGGACTGGGACAAGCGGGCGCAGCCCTGAGGAAGCTCCTGGGACTCCAGGAACATGGCCACTGGACCAGCAGTTCTGACTGGACGCCCCTGTGGGAGGCCCCACCCCAAACCTGACGCCCAGCAGAGATGAACCCCCTCAAATAGGCCATAAAGGGGAGCCCCAAGCCCTCTGAGTGGGGAGGCGTCGGTAGGACACGCTTTGGGGCACGTGGTTAGCTCTTCCCCGAGTCTTCGGCTCACCCCAAAAGGCCACTGGAGTTTTGCGGTGAGGCTCATTACGCAGCAGCAAACGCTAGAACGCGGCTTCTCCCCACCACGCGATGAGCAACGGCAGCACAGGCCGCAGGGACGGTGAGGCGGCGACGCGCGGCCGCAGCCAGTGCACCGACGGAACGGGCCGGCCCGCGAGAGCTGGCTGGGCCGGGAGGG